TTTTAGGTTAAGTTTTAAGGCTTCGAAAATTCAAGGTCTGTACATTACTTCACTACATACAATTTATACGACTCGAGCCTTCAAGCTTAAAGGCTCGAGCGTTAAAGACTCGAGCTTTCACGACTCAAGCTTCGAACCTTGAGGGTTCGAGCCTTTAGGGTTTGAACCGCGACTCGAGCTGTTAAAGCTCAAGACTCGAGGCTCATTTTAACAACACTATATACATCCGCCCACAGTACTTTAAGAGTTAATGTATTATACGATTTCATTGAGTATACATACAACGCTGGCAGGTATATTGTTAATGGCAACAATAAAAGAAAAACGATTGTCACTACTATCCAGAAAGGTAAAGAATTGTTTAAATTTTGTGGGAATATGTATTGCTTCATCCATCCTGAACTTTCATTTACATCGAACTCTTAAAAATTTATTTTGAGTTCTAAAAAATGGTTGAACTTTTTCGTAAAAAAAAATTTTACAACGATAGAATAAGCAATAATAAGATTACTGTTGTAATATACAAAGATAAGATGTTTTAAAGAAATTCGAAAGAACTTATTGTTTAATCTAATATTTTAACTTCTGTTGTGGAGCTAAAACAGACTATTGAAATATGAAATTTAGTATGGAATATGTATATGCTATTTATGGGACCAATCTAATTAAATATGAAAAAATAAAATTAATGATTATTTTCGTTGTGATATAGCTTTAAGTTATTAGTTATTAAAAACAAAATCAGAAGTTACTGGCTTTTAAAAGAACCTTATGTATTTTCTTCATATTTATTAATTGATCATATTGTTATTCCGCTATATTTATTGGCATTTGTATTCTTCGGGTGAAGTTCACTTTAGTTTCTTGATACATTTCGAAGAACAAAACTTTTGTAAATAACTCGAAGCGTATAAAACAAATTGTAAATAATGTTATTCTAATTTTCTTTATACGATTATACATATAGCCAATGACAAACAAAAATAATGTCGCGTATATTTTAGTTGCGTATTGATTTTTATTTTTATGGATAGTTTAATGTAGGTATCTTACATTTATAACTAGCAAACGTATTCTTCTGTTTATAGCATACAATTAACACGTTCTTGTAATATAAATTCGATACACAGGTAAATCGTACAAAATTGTATCCCAGTAGAATTTGGATTATAGTATACTGTAATATTAGTGTAGAAATACAATTTCAGTTCAGTATTTGCCAAAAAGAAACCACACTTTTATGAAATAAAATTTAGAATTCTCTTTATGTAACTTATAGACAAACTTACAAAAGTAATACAATTTTTAATTAATCCATATCTTGTAACTTATCTATTATTTGTCGTTTTTGTAGTGAGTTGAACTTATTACTAAATACTTATTACATAAATGAAATGATTATGTATGAAAGTATGTAAGGGCTCGAAAGTAGGTGAGTTTGATTGAATTAAATGAAGGTGATACTCCTCCATTATATCACTGTCGCATAATAATGAAACAATTCAAACTCAACAGAACCATACAAACACTTCACTCAATAATTTCCATCTTTTTTCACTTTTATGTAATATCACACAATTAATATACATTTTTGAAACTAAAACTGTTGTACAATAGTGGAATACCGTTCGACAAATATTTCTTGTAAAATTAAAAATTGCAAATCCAAACGGTTCCAGAACCTGAAGTTTTAAAATGACGATAATTGATACGGAAGTTCAAATGAAATTTAATGTACCGTCTGTGTTTACTCTGCAAGAGATTGTTGCTCCAATTTGAGTATAAAAATTGAATTTTATAACAATATTTTTTATCAAAATCACACTCTATATTTCCCATCTAATGACATTTGTACAGTTACACAAGATTCTTTTTGTTAATGTAATGAAAAATGAATAGCCAAAAATAGTATAGCAACCTAGCCATGCATGTTCTCTAAAAGGAAAAAGTATGACATTATATTAGTATAGCAACAGAGAAAATTACAATAAAATAAATATTCGATCGAAGTCTAATACAAACTTCATTTTCGCGTAAATTAATCTCTGCCTCATATTATCGAGTCAGACCCGTGGCGAAGGTTCGAAATTGAATTTAATAAATAATGAATATTCTTGATTTAGCTAAAGTCGAAGTGCAATACCATTTTTTGGTTATCAATATTTAACAATAAAGTAACTCTGGTTAGCTCAGTCACGAAAAAAATTGCAACAGACTGTATGTAATCAATGTACTGCGGATTTTATGCATTTATTGTAAAGAGTGAGTGTGATAAACAACAATACACCAAACATTATCATAAAGATTAGTATGAAGTTTACTGCGTTAGACCTCAAAAAAACCTTTAATAAAAGAAACAAACCTGCCACATAATTTCAGTTCCGTAGAATTATCTATAAAAACCAGAATTTATATTCCAGAAAATACCGATCTAACCTATATTTAAAAGGTTAACTGACTCAAACGCAATAAACTCACCTTCGTTTAAATTTATCAAACTGTGACCGTAACAACTTCGAAAGCAATCGTGAAAATTGTGTCCCGTGCAAATGACGGCCGGTCCAAGCCGGCGAAACTGCAGTTAACTCTGTTAACGTTACGATAAAAGCCTTGGAAATCGTATTTCTACGAACGGTTCTGTTCTCGTTTGCAGAGCGCCATACCGTCCCATCCCTTGAATTTTGCCGGGCTTTCATCTTTCTGCAATGACGTTAATGCAATCAACGAGGAATTCGCCGGTATTCCACAAGTTTCGGCGAAGATAGACGAGCTACCGACCGGCGCTGAACTGAAGAATAGATACGCAAACGTGATACCGCTTCCGGAGACAAGGGTGCCGCTTCAAAAAATTAACAACGATCCACTTACGGAATACATTAATGCCAGTTACGTCAGGGTAAGTAATGTTTTAACTTAACACATTCAGAACGGGCTGTAATTATTTATTCAAGCTCATAACCTGGAAAAACAATTTTTTTTTTATGTTTTCACTATCAATATGTCATTATAACTATTCCAACAGCCACCTTATCACAGACATTTTTTATCACATTTTTAAATGGGAACTATAGCCTCCATCCGATTGTGAGATTTGTCGTTTAGGGGAAAGCGATGTAATTACGAACACCTAAGCAAAAAAAAAAAACGAACAAAACGAAAGCTGAGTGAGAAACGGATTTGTTTATTACTTATAATCATACTTAACCTATTCATCCACGAACTACAATATCCAATTTTGGAAAAATTATTATAAAAATGAACTTTTTAGAGAAAAAACGAAACCCTTGGTGTTCGTGATTACCCTGAGGTGGTGTCGTGGAGAAATGAATTTATACTACACACTACTCGCTAATATATACAAATAAATTCCTGATGGAATTAATAATGTTAGTTTCCCCACAAACAGTGAGAACTTACACTATCGTTAAGGGTAGCGAAATGATTCAGCAAGTAACTTTACTCGGCGAGTGCTCGTGACTGAATGCCCCCAGCCTGCACACGCTGTCTATTCGGGGGAGGAAGAAAGCCCTTAAAAGAGAAAGTTCCCCCGACTACTTAAACGGAAATTTTCCTGTCGCATCGAAAATCCTTGCGCACAGCTGCAAACCATTTTATTACCCTCGAAGCCTTGAGCTCATCGGCTCGAGGGCTAAAATGACCAGCAACCGTGCGCGGACGCTCCACAGCCAACTACCTGGCTGTGCACGCTACAACCCGACTGCCACGGGGGAATCACGAACACTGCACAGGGTTATCACGAACAGAGTGTGGCTCTGGGTGTGCTTTCACCACTGCTACATTTTTCATTTGCCCATAAGTGAAGTTTGTAACACGTGATCCAGTCTTCAGTAGCCGCCATCCAGTTTGTTCACCAATATCCCACAACGTCAAAAAATTGAAAAAAATTCATTTAGAGGTTAAAATCAGTCAACAGACAACACATTGGTCACAAAATGTTGTCTAAGATGTGCTCATTTTAACTTGAATAAATCCGAAATTGTATCATTAATGCAAACAGTAACTACATACAATTTGAAATAGACCATATGTTACTTGAAAAACGATGCAAATAATAAATTTTGTTTATTGTCAACGGCATGCAAGGCCCCTTTTAATTACTTTCTTCCTAGCACTGGATACGAGCTAAACTGTCAGCTAGTGGAGTGAAAAGATAAATTTTCGTTTTCTAACACACCGTAATCATTGCATTCGGGACTACCCAGCGTTCGTGTTTACCACACTCTCCCCTAGTTACACCTTAATAATATTTAAAACTGTGGACAACTACAGTAAATCTTCGATAAGTGTTCGATGGCTCCTTGGCACTGAACATTAAATATTTCATAAACTAATGGCCATATGCGGTTGTAACAAATATCATGGGCTTCAGAATTCCAAATTCCATCACTGTACTAAATCTTATTAAAAAGTGAATGTTACACCTGAGGAACTCCCCTTGTCAGTGTCGAGGAGTCTTTGAACACTCATCCAGAATTTACTGTAGTATCGAACTGTTTCTGTAGATATCACTCATGTAGATACATTCACATGTGGCTATAAAAGACGTATAAGTACCCTCCACAATACCCCAAAGACATTGGATTGAAAGGACTTGGGAACTATATTTCCCAAGTGGCCGCGAGATTCGCCCATGTTGGGATTTGTTGGGAACTGCAGTTTCCACGCGTACAGTACATGTTAATACGCTGTTCTATTTAGCTGTCTGAATATTTTTGAGGAATAAACAAACGTTTATTCAATTAACGACTGACACTTTGAAGTGCCCTTTCAATGGTTTACGATGAAATGAATGCACAAGCCCTAATTAGTCTTCCTTTCGTGTTCTATGGGGTGATTGCTTTCATTAAACCAAATTTTGCAATATATGCACTACCAATTAAGGGGTTAGCCCACTTTGGAACCTAAAAATGAAAGTTATTTTTTTACGTAAATGGGAAATCTCTTAGAATACATTTATTATGGTACATATTTTTAGGTACGCAAAACAATTTTTCTTTTTTTAAAACAAAATGACGACGATAGGGATGATCCACGTTTGGTTGCTTTTAACTGGGCAACTAATCGGTGTGCAGAATTACTTGAAAACGATTTGACCTAGATAAAAAGCGAAACAATTATGTGTTGTACATGAACTTTACTAAAGAAGTAGGTACGTAGGGATTTCTAGAAGTATGATTTTTTTTGCAAAAGTTTCGAAGAAAAAAGTATCATTTTTAACCGAAAACTTTTGTTAAAAAATATCCATAGCAAAGAAACTTTTTAACATATCGAAAAATCTCTACGTACTGCTTTAGTAAATTTCATGTAGAACATAATAATATTTTGCTTCTCGGTCCAGATCAAACCGTTTTAAATTTATTTTGCATTCCGATTAGGTGCTTCCTTCGGAACAGCCAATGTGGCTGAGCCCCAGCGTCATTTTGTTGTATTAAAAAAATTTGATCGCGTACCCGAAAATATATACAGTAAATGTCTTATAATGGATCTCTCGTTTACTTCATTACTTTCACACAACAAATTGCCAAAGAATAGCATTAACATATTTTTCAGATCCAAAGTAGACTAACTCCTTAACCTATTACATATCGTCAAAACTTTTAAAATGAAAATGAAATAACTGAAACAATTTTTAATATTATTAGTATTGAAGCATAAACCATACCCGGAACTCAATAATTTCTTATCCTTATATTATATCCTTTTATACACTTCATATAAGGCAGATTCCACTCCAGCATTGTGGGTAAAACATACGGAAATCATTCGACAGTTAGTGTTAATAAAGAAGAACGAGTTAATTCGTTTCATTTGTATTCGACTGTATTTTTTTATGACCTTTACTTTTTTATTTATTTACTTGAAAATTTCTGAATTTACTCGTCTTACAGTATTTGTAATAGCATAATATTTGTACAGCGCTGCATAGAAACGACACGAACATAATATCTATATACTCACGTTATTACATATTTCATACGTTAATATTTCGTAATTATGATGTACAGAAATGTTTCAGAATAATTACGTTTGTAACCTACGCTCCGCGCAGTGCAAATAAAATATTCTATTTAATAATGTTTATTTATACAATATGAACTTTGTGTTTTGTACTTTGTTTTAAGTATACGTTTCTTTGTTTGAATAGGAAATGCAAACATTTCTTAACATATTTCGTGCCGCACTGATTTTATATAATTTGTCATCCATGGAATTACTGGGTCATTATTATCTTTTAGTATTATTATTTTCAATGAAATTGTGAATTTTATGAATTGCTGTCTTTGTCCATATTTTTACGAAAGAATGTTATCAATCACAATTAGCAATTGCACGTCAAATTGAACTGTATTGCATAAGCAATAAATAATAGACCGAAAATTATTGCATTGAAATAACATATTATAATTATAAAGGGTGACTCATTTAACGCTGACTTCAAATGTACTTGTAAACTGCTTGTTATATGAAAAAATGTTTTAAACAAAAGTTGTAAGGTATCAGAAGAGGCATACAATGTAATAATTAGTTTTTTGCGATTTTACTTTTTTATCAAGATGTGAAGGATACCTTGAGCTTTTTTATTGTAATATGTAAACTTTTACCGTGCAATTAAAAAAGATTGTTGTACATTGAATAAAAAACTATTAGGTACATGGGCCCAAAATCCAATAATTACCGAGATACTCTTTAAATGATTTTTAATGCAATATATGTATGCTCAAAACGTTGCCCATTACAATCAATGAATCAATATAAGTGCGTAGTCGTTCAATAAATGCAAATGTCATATGTTCAAGTGTTTTTTGATTTATAGCATTACGTGTTCTAATGATATGATTTTTCATATCTTTGGATGTCGTTCGTAGCGCACGACTAACTTCCTTTTTTAGAAGTCCCCAAAGAAAGTAATCGTAAAAGTAAGAGACAGGTTGTAAGCGTACGAATTTTGCATTCACGAAAGTTTATTATAGTTCGTTGAAGAATATCTCAGTAACTTTTAAGTAACTATTAGTTTTTGGACCTACAGGTATACTCCAATAGATTTTTTTCTCAGCATTCATCATTCTTTCCAATTATACGGTCAAATTTTTCACATTACAATTAAAAAACTCAAGGTGACCTTCATATCTCGATTAAAACGCAAAATAGCAAATACGAATTATTGCTCGTGTGCCCCTCTCGATACCACACAACTTTTGTTTCAAACATTTTTTCATATAACAGGCACTTTACAACTAATTTAAATGGCAGCGTTAAGCGAATCATAATAGGTTGAAGTAACTATATCTTGAAGACATGTAGAATCTCTAACAATTTATTTCAAACAGTAAGCTTTTGGAAAATCTGATAATTTGAAATATCATTAGCAGATCCATCACCAAAAATAATTAATAAACAAGGCGGAGAACAGTAAGTACATTTTATATTACAGGGTATTAATAAAAATGAGCAACACTTCCACAGGATGGATTTTACACGACGAACTAAAACGAAAATCAAGAATGACGAAATTGTGTTCGAGGTTTCAGTTTTGAGCTATTAATTGTTTAAAATACGGGCGAAATACGAATGAAATATGTCTGGCGCGACAGGTTATACTATGCAAACGGCCGTTGCTCAACTGATACACAGACTCGGTCGGTAACCATCAGTGCTGTAACACTTACAAAAACACACTTATCTCACAGCTGAAGCGGTGATATGCGACGCTTTGTGTATTGCAATAATCCTTTCTAAAACTTTCTGGAACATCCAATACAAATTGCTGGACGACATTAAACCTGTCTACTCGACACTCGGAGCGACTGTTTCGCAGTTAATGCGATCAACTTGCTGAGTGAATTGGCGTGAATGCATTGTAACGGGCGTCCAAGTTTAGAAAGAAGTAGGTGGCTCTCGGAGGATTTGGCATCTCTTTTTAAATCTCAGTAGTGGAGGGTGAGTTTCTGGGGATCTGCATATTGAATGGTTGACTCAGCTATATTAGAAACAGATAGCAAGTCCTCCGAAACTAACCCGTCTCTTTCTAAAGTTGTATGATTGTAACGACCACAGAAAGTGCGTCCGAGTCATTCTTCTTTCGAGATTCGGACATTTTAGAAGGCTCTGTCCGACTTTAAATTACGAATATACACAATTTTAGTTTGTAGTTATTAGATTAAATAATAATACTTTTAATTAATTTTATTAGATTTCAGTGTTCTTAAATTTGTGGTTTTTGTCGTTTGCTGTATGCTTGCGTTCTTATTCTTGAGAGGTTCTGTTTGTATGTGTGATGATTGCATTTACGAGAAGGTATATAATTTTACTTTTTCCGTATTATGGGCATGCTAATTGCGCATGGAAGAGAGGACGAGTGCTGATATAAGGTTAGAAAAATCAAGAACGCCGCATTATATGTATACAAACATGAATACAGACGGACGGATTCTAAAGGATCCGGAAGTCATTTAGGGGGCACGCTATCTTGATAGGATTTAAAGAAAGCCTACATTCAAATAATTTTTTACACTTTTACATAACTTTTTCAGAATCAATTAATTTTTTTACAGATATAATATTCAACCATGGTTAATTGAAAAGTGTTGTTAAAAAGAATTAAATCATACACCAGCTACAGCCTGATGCGTAATAGTTTTCCACCGGCGTTCAGATGCATGGGCGGCCTGATCGCTCGGGTGTCGGTGATTCAAAATTAAAAACTAAATTATGTTTTGAAAGATAGATATTACAGCTAAAATGTAGCGTACGGATTTTTGTATGCCAAGATTCATTTATTCGTAACGGATTTTTAAAGTTAAGTTTTTCAGGCAAGAAACCAAAATAAAGAATTGACTACTGCTCGTTTTCACTATCGCCCACATTTTCAGAAATCCATACGCTACATTTTAGCTACAATATCTACATTTCAGAAAATCGTTTATTTTTTAATTTTCGATCACCGATATTCGAGCAATCGAGTCGCCCATGATTCCGGAACCGGCAAAGGATCTTCACGCAGCTGGCTCTAGCCGCCATATTTGTTACGTTTTCAATAATTATTTTACACTAACTATAATTGAATAATATACCTGTAAAAAAAATTAATTGATTCCGAAAACTAGTTTTGTTTAAAAAGTTGTTTGGATTTAAGTTTTATTTAAACCCCATCAAGGTGTCTTAACCCCTTAAAAGAAGTTTGCGATTGCGTATAGGAAAAAGAGATAGATATTTTGAGTTTATACTGTGAGAGTATTTGTGACTTGTAATTGAGTGTTCTTTGTGGATACATATAAAGTTTTTCTGTGGACTCCGTGGTTCTATTTTAATGTAACGTACGTAAGTGTGTTTCCATAGGTTTGTGTTGTATTTCTGTACTTGTATAATTGAATGAGTCGCAGTGCTTTTAATATACATGAACATTCAAAGACGGGACAAGCGTGTTACGTGTGTTTGCGTGTGTGTGTGATAGTTGCAAGCAAATTTGATTGTTTGAACTGTGGCGGCACGTGAACAAACGCGCCGCCTCATAGACGACGTGCCGATCAGCGCGTTGCGACAAAACGCACTTCGGCTGCTCGGGCGAAAGTTCTCGGAACGGCGAGTTCCGTCGTCTGCTGTATACATTATCGAATAATCGAGAACGTTCTCGTTCGATGCGTCAGACGACGGCCCTCTCGAAAAGCCGTCGCGGGACAGACAAAAAGGGCAGTCGGGCCTCGAGTGTTGCACGCGCAACAACGTTCCGAGCGATACACGACCAACGCGAAATAAACGATTTCCGACCGTCTATGTGTGGATTATTTCACCCAAACGCCGAATTTCCCCACAGAACCAAATAGCATTCACCCTCTCTACTTGACAGTCCCATAGGGCAGTTTTTGATGAGCCCTTGTGGATTTTGGCGAATAGGTAGGTTTAATGCCATTTAAAAGTTTTAAACAAAATTATCGCAATACCACGAGGCGTCGTATGTTATCACTTCAGCTGCGAGATAAGTGGGTCTTTTCAGGTGCTACAGCACTGACGATCATCGACAATACCTGTATATCAGCTGAGCAACGGCCGTGTGAGTAGTCTAACCCGTCACGACCAGACGTACTCTACGTGCATTTTCAATTAATAACTCATAAATTTAACCTCGAACGTAATTTCGTTAATCTTCATTTGCGTCTTACAATTACTTTGGCATATAGAATCCACCCGTGAAAATGTCCCACATCTTTATTAACACTCTGTATAAAACCCTACAGAAATATTGAGTTAATGAATTAAATAAAAAAAATGTTATGATCGAGGAAACAAAAACAAAATGAAAGGAACAACGTTATATTTATTAACTATTTGAATTTAGTATTAGTTATTTTTATTAAAAAGGTTGTTTTATTACATATTGAAAGATTCTTGTAGAGCTTGTTGTTTCATTTCTCTTAAAATGGAGGATATAAGACAGAAACATTTCGCTGGACACTTGTATTGAATATGAAACAGTTATACTTTATTGTATATAAATTTTGTTAAATTTATTTTTCATATTTCTTCCGAATATTCTGATTCCATGTAAAATCCTCTGTGTACTCACGACCACATATGTATATTTAACAAAGCACTTCAGCCTGTCTCGAGTGACCCAAACAAAAGCAACAGCTAACACAGCGTTTTGTCGGCACGAGAAAAGGATGTTGCATAATGCATTACGAAGAATACGAATGCTTATTGCATAAGCTGCGAGCACAGTAATATGCGGAAGTGGGACGGACGTTAGCACCTGTTTCCAGTGAATGATTAGGAGGTTTAAATTATGCCTTGTAACAACAGAAATGATAATTGATCAGCTTCAAAAGATTAATTGTCCCATTATTATGACCGTGACGTAATATTATTAATCATGACTATGCAAAATTAGATAAGAAATACTGCAGTGGACATTTAAGCTTAGAAAGACAATTATAGTATTACATGTTGTGCAAGAATTTGGAAAATGTATTTTAATACAATTATTCATCGTAGGGAAATATTATAATCGTAATTACTGTAGCCGAGCAGATTTCGAAAATATAGTAAATACCATTTTTTAATATATAAAATGAATCTTTTTATTATCGTGTAAATTATACAACGTAGCAGATTTTATTGTAGAGGCCAATAATAAGTTATTGAAATTATTAAGTTACTGACATATGTATAAGAAAGTGTTATTTTAAATTAATAATACACATTTAGAACTTCTGCGTAGAAGTATTAATATTGCAAGTTTAAGAAAATTGATGCTCAGTATAGTTAATTTCAGAAATAGCTGCAGTTCCAAACCAAACAAATGAACCTGTACCTAACTGAAGCAAGATTTAAACATTTTGGTACACTGTTAAGTATATGTATTTTGAGAAAGAATAATCGGTGCTACATGCGTTCCTTAATTTCGTTTCTTGTTTGAGATGTAAAGTATAAAACAAAAATAGAATTCATTTACCGTGCATAAAAACATAAATCGTGGCATTACTTTAGGAACACCTTGTGTATACACTTTACATGTGCAATCACTCAACACTCATCTATTAATGTACTCAGAATATATTGAGTGCAATGCCCTCCAGTTTCCAGTTGACACGGAGAGGGTCTGGCTAATCAATAATATCGATCAATATACTACTCAGGTCACATCATACTTATTACACGAATTAATTGATTCGGGCTGAAATCAATTCCGTTTGAAATATGAAATATCTGTCCGCCGGCTAATTTGAAATTATCGACAATTACACGTTATTAATTAATATAATCTCTTAAAAGTAACGTAGTATATAATAATATATGATATATTACTATTTTTAATCATACGTTATACTATCGATAATTAATTATATAATAATATAATATAATAATATAAACTCTTAAACTCTTAATGCAAGCTTTTAAAAAACAAGATGCCCTGTTTTGCTTCAAAATGAAGTAACGTAATGCAAAAACATATTTTCATTTTGCGGTTGAGTAAAATGTATATTAGGTGCACTAATTATACTAATTTGTTCAGATATTTTATTTGGTACAAAAAACTATGGGGATTTTTGTACTCTTTGTTTAAGTTAACAGCGGTTTTCTTTTTTAGGGACCAAAAAACGCGATGAGATACTATATCGCTTGTCAAGCACCAATGGATGCGACCATTACCGACTTCTGGAGGATGATCTGGGAGCAACAGTGCAAAGTGATCATCATGCTAACTGATCTCGTTGAGAACGGGGTAGAGAAATGTACCGAGTACATACCACCCTCGGAAATAACGGATTGCCACCGGTTATACGGTGATTTCCAAGTTACTTTAAAGAAGAGAGAAACCAAAGAAAAATATGCCATTTCCACGCTTCATTTAAAGGTAAGAAAAAATCTTTTTTTTTACCATTTATAACGAAATCTACATTTTTTGTTGAAATTCCCAAATTTAATAATTGTGCTATGAATGTTTATACAAATTCGAATTTTAAAAAAATAATCTAGAGAGTCTGCATTCGAAGAAAAATTTATTTCCGTTACTAAAGAACTTAGAGGATTTAAACAAACCCGGTTCTAGGATTGAAAGTAAAATGAAAAATCGTTCAAGCTTTGTCAACATTATTCGTTTAATGTATTATTTACATTCGTGGGTCCTGTAAATGTATTGAATTCATGTCCTAATTACTAGGGTGATGCTTATATGGATCAACAAATTTTTTAGAAAATTTATTGTGACTCCCTTCGAATATACTCCAAAAAACTACTGTAGTTTTCTAATTATTTCTTTAATTAATTTTATGAACCGTTACCACTTATCGAAACGACATTTTGAAAAATATTTACTTATTGATACGTGACGTTAACAAAAAGGGCACTTCTAAAAGAAAATAGGTATTAAAGTTCATCAATGCTAATCCTCCCTCCACTATATCGTTTACAACTATTATCGAATGAACAACTGCCGTGCTTGTTCTGTAAAGTTCATTATTCCAAATTCAAACCGTTAACAACGAGCACGTGCAGGTCCACAACAGTGCATTTCCAATCGTTACCACGGAAACAATAAACTTATATTATTTGTTAAACATTGTCCAATAATTACGACCAATCTGATAGCCCTTACAATATGAAGACTTTGGTTTCCAGTAGCGACCTCTAAACGCTAATCAAATTGGAAAAGAATTACACACACTCATCTTTCAGATGGGAGAACTAAATAACAAGAGGCCCCAATATAATTTTAAGACTTTGATTTTAAAAACCACCCTACTAATTACACTGATGTACTAAAGTTTACTTTTTCTTGTCACACAAGGCTTAATATACATATACTTTTAATAGTATTTTTTGTATTGAATTCATGTATGCAATCCGTTTGTTTCCATGACATAGGGTTTTTGTGCAACATATAGTTTAATATTTAATAATTCGTATAATTCTATATACTTAGAAACTGTAGAACATTACGTAAAATGTGGTGCTTCTTGATCTCCTGGGATATTTTGCTTGAGGAACGTCTCATTTAAGTGTCCAGCAGTAAACAGATAGCATAGTAGCACTCAATTTTCCTTGGTATCGCTTTTCCATGCACGATATGTCCTGATAAAATCGCTCACCATGTTTATCACTTACGGCACCTAGATTTTCCGGGGTGAAATCCAAATGAGAATCCGGAAAGTGTATTTTTAATGATAAGTTACACTCCATATCTTTATAAGAGTTTAATGGTTCTATAAAATATTATAGCAAAAACTATAGGCGGTGGAGAAAATTGTATTGCAGATTCAAATTCAACATCGAAATTTACATAAGAATCGGTGTAAATATTCTTTGAGACAAAAATTATGTTGACCACTGTTATCGTAATTCACTTTTTCACATTATTCGAGTCTTGTTCAGCTGTACTATAGTGTTCAGATTTTCCAAATTGTGGTCTTATTTCGTTAAAAATATACTTAGATTCAAGAAAAATACTTACAAAATGGTATCACTATATGAATTTATTCTTCCCTGGCATTACAATAATCATACAGATACTCTAAGGGCCATAGTAGGATTAATTATAACTTATAATAGGTACTAACTATATATATATATATATATAGTACTAACTCAACATTGGCAGCTGAAAGTACAATTATTATATTTTTATTATTAAACTGCGAGTGTTTATACCTTTATATAAATTAAAAAGTAAATCATTGTTTCTTTACTCTACTTATATTTGGACTGATTTTTCTATGAAGAATAACTTTCCTCCTGTAGTACCGCGAAGTCTATCGTGCACTTTATTTCATCACATCTCTGTTGTTTCGTAGAATCAACGTTCTACTCTAAAGCAATCCTGATTGAGAGTAACTTCACCGGCTAAATTGCTATCATTGCATTGTAATGTCCAGAGAAGCAGGGACGACATAACGACTGCATGTACCTACATTTACCCCTTTCGCTTTAATCTTTTCGTGACCAGATTAATTTTTTGTTAAGAATTGGTTGTTTATCTATTGTCCATTGTGTCTGTAATGAATACTGAATTGAGATGAATAGGGCGTAATTGTTCCGCTGTACCCTGTGTGTTGTAATTAGGGAGACGGGTTCTGGAAAGAACAAATTTTTACGAAGAATCTTTTTGTTAAAACTGTTTTCACTGTTATCAATTGTTCTATACACAAGCTCAAAATTACAAGATACAACATACATATTAGTCTCAATAACGATTTAAGGGTGGGCGCTAGAGGGTTAAACCCAAGAAACTAATTGCTCCTGAACGCACTTGACTCGAACCTGATTATTCAGGACTAAACCACCAGGCTAATTGTTATAGGCTCATTTAATCTATTCCTTGAATGTGCGATCAATGTTCTACGTATCGAAAATGAGAAAGAATTCAATTTTGTGGTATAGGTATACTTCTGCAGAAAGTATTCAAACCACAGCGCGTGTTGCGAAAGCACTATGTAATGTTGGAAAGTTTAATCCTACGTCGAGCGCAATATGTTTTGTAACATCAATGGACGCAATGTACCTGGGAGGCACAATTTATATTAGGGGGTTTATTTCCCATTTTTATAAGATAATATTCATCATTTTTATAAATAATTTATTTTAATGATATAACCATTTTATAGACAGCATTAGCCCATTAAGTCCCAAGTAGTGAATTAAGGCGATTTTTACACATATAATTATTTATAACTTATAGAAGTGTATAAGAAAGAATATAAATACTATCAAAAGAATGTTTGGATCGGTACTTTATGTATAATAACATGTTGCGATTGTGCAGCTTCGGGCACTTTTTTATTGAAAAATGGAAATAAAATGATTTATATATTATTTTTTCGAAATATAGAAAATGCATTATGATGCAGAAAACATTGGTATATCATAGTACTATAAATACTTCAATTTCTACAAAATTCGTAACGTCATATGATCTAAGTGGAAATAGAAATGGTGACAGAAAAAATATGAACAAAACTGTGAAATCCTCTTTCGTAACTGCAACATGAAAAACAGAATTCAATAACGAAAATTTACTGAAAAAAAATTGCGAGTGAAATGTTCCGTTAACGGGATGTTGTGTCCAAATAGGTTAATGGCGTTGCAACATTAGGCCAAAAATAAAGAATACTAAAAACACTTAATGATTGGTTTGGTAATTATTAGTCGTTGTCACGTCGCTGTGGCTATGAGACCAGTTGCGCCCAACGGAGGATTAAGCAGTAAATGTCACTGAAACATTTCACGCACAATATGAACAGACCAATTGTGTTTTTCAGAATCTGGAGAACAACACATTCCGAGAGGTGTATCATATTTGGTATTTGTGGCCTGTCAATGGCGCACAGTCGGACGGAGCGGGCTTGATAGCCGTGCTCCTCGAGGCGAGGGCACTCCAAAGGGGTGGCCCTGGACCCATTGTTGTCCACTGTAGTCCCGGCACTGGACGCACGGGAACGTTAATAGCTCTTGACCTAGGAATTAGACAATATGAGATTACGAGGACTGTGGACGTGCCAAGGGTCATTTACACTATCAGACGGGATCGTGCTGGGGCTGTTCAGACGAAAGAACAATATGCTTTCATTTATAAGGTGATTTTCATTGTGTTATGTAGCTAACCTACGATTTTATCCAATAGACTATACTCCATTAACTTACGAGAAACGACCGCGAATGTGTCGCTCCTCGATTTTGATTAAACTTTGCACGATTGTACAAAACACAAAAAAATTGTGTCTAAATCAATGGTCTTATCTAAAGTCGAATCCACACTGTACACGGTGAGTCATTTAAATTGATCCCTGCGAATATCTTCGAAATCGTTTTTTTTTTTTTATTAATCTCCTTTATTCATGTACCAGTCGTACAGTTTGTAGATTTTTTACATGGTTTGTATTTTCGTTTTATTCAGGGATCCGTCATTTCGCTCCTTCCACACATTCATCCATTCCTCACTTTCGAAATCGTTGATGATAGCGAAAAATGTTTCAGACAAAAGTTTCGAAGAAGCAATAATTTCACGTGAGTAGTCTTTTTATAGATGAACGCGTAGAGGACATATTAAGGTCAGATTTGTTTTGTTAAAGGGAATCATATATTATTTAACATATTAATCGATGCAGCTTATCATTTATTATAATAAAGTATTGAACCATTTATGCCAAAAAGCCATTAGTTTAGGAGGTATTTGAATTTCAATAATGCAAAATTGTACTCAATTTCGGCACAATTTGTACGCGTGACATTTAACATCTTATACTTGTATGCATAGCCTGTCAACAAATTTCAAAAGAAATGCTAGAAGGGTTCCATATATCGTTTAGAAACGGAGTAAATCTTTGCATTGAAACTAAAGAATGTAGTTTTGAACATCAACTTTAGAAAGGTAAACATTGCACTATTAGTACCACTTCGCAATTTTGAAATTATAATATCTCTTAAACTAATGGCTTTTGACAAAAATATTTAACACATTTTAATAGAAAATAACGAATTGCATTGAATAATACATTAAAAATATATATATATAATTCCGTTTAACAAAGATAATTTGACGTTAATATGTCCTGTACGAGTCCACCTATGAAAAGACTACTCGTATCAAATTATTTCTTCCTCAAAAGCATTCAACTTTTATCCGAAATGTTTTTCGATGTCTTCAATGGTTTCGAAGATATTCACGAGGATCGATTTAAATGACTTACCCTGTATAAGAAAACATTCTTATGTAGCTAGATTGTTTAAAAAAAGAAAGAAAAGTGTTATGTGACGTTACGTGGAAATGAGAGTGTTAAAAGGTGAATTAATTTACAAATTTGTATATTTTCAAACGTTTGTCACGTTTATCGATCTGATAAAGATAGATATATGTTTATCGTCGTGTTCCAGTGTAAAACACACAATCAATAGCATTGTGAGCACAAGGTGTCAGCCACTTTTGTTAATTCTTTTACAAAGTGTTTGTTCACTTAGTAATTTCACGTTGTAAACACACATGAAATAACAAGTACACATAGAAAATAATTTATCGGTTATTTTACAAATAAAACAATTGAATTTTACGAAATTGATATTTTCGAGTATATACAATTATTAATATAGATATACAATTATATCAAAATTATTCAATTAAAAAAAACGCATTAAAATTACATACACACATTAAAATTATTGTATATTATTAGTGTCCATGTATACCAGAAGAACATTATGTAGCATCGAAATAACATAGAAATATCATTACAAAATAATTGACATTGTTTTCATTTTGCAGGCGTTAAATTTGTACGCGACCAAACTAGCTGGCGGTGTGTTGGATTCAACGTGAATTACTCGAGTAGATTACAAAAACGTTCTCCAACGAGGACAACACTTAAATCGAAGAAGGAATCTGCTGTACCAATGAAGGGTAGAGAAAAACACGTCACGGAAAGCGATACAAAGCACGAGATTATGCAACACTCGAGATCCTAGAATTATCGAAATAGAAAAATACTACACGATAATCGATCGAAAAAAGGCGACTTGTGATACGTGGACCATTCTGACGATCATATATCGCGTCAGATTTTTACTTGATTTACTAGGAACAAGACGATTTCAAGAAGAAAGAATTGAGGCACCTGTGTTTAATCACTTGTCTTTTTCTTTCGGCTGATCTTTGAACTATATTATATCGTTGATATAACGTTGAAACTATTTTGAGGATGACAGATTTTTATAAATTATAATTTTTTAATCTAGAATTAATAGTTCATCTGGAAATAAAAGATGCTCAAAAGGTATAAGATGTTTTACAAATAAAAACAAATTCCCTTTTATTGTATAACTCAGTTTTCTTACATGTATTATATGTATGCTTACATTAGATATATTGCATATATTCTCCCGAAGTGTGTAATGAGATTCAGCTTCTTTTAACCGTAAAAAGTGGCTTCAACTGAATCGGTACTTTTGTCGCAAAATTCTATGACCGAAAGAAGAAGACAAAATAAGTGGTGATACCTCGTCCAAGTGAAAACTGCGAAACACGAGACAGAAATTAATTTGCGACATCCAATCCATTTGTCGACGTTCTTCAGTTTCGTATTTCTGAAGCCTCTACGATTTCGTAAATCTCTTTATTGTAGATTTTGTCTCCTCTGTCAATACTTTAATAATATATGAACATATTATATACAGGGTGAGGCAATAACTATGTCCACTTTGAATATTGCCGTTATTTGTAATAATATGAAAAAATGTTATCTACAAAACTTACACGGTATAGAGGGGGGCATATTGTGACACAAACATTTTCCGCGTGGGTGAAGGCATAGAGGAGATTTCAAGGTCAACGAGCTATCATTGTAGGTCATGCAAGCTCAAATGTGATTGAAAAATAAACTTTCTTACATTACAGGAGGTGCTCGAAGTGGTGACCGTTTGCGTCAATGCAAAGTTGCAATATTCGTATTGCTGCATCACGTGCATGTTTTATTGTTTCTGAACTTATTCTAGCACATGCTGCAATTATCCGTTGTTTCATATTTTCTGGTGTAATGGGTACTTCTTGATAAACAGAATTTTTGAATGCTCCTCAGAGAAAGAAATCTAATGGAGTTAAATCTGTGGAACGAGGTGGCCAAGAAACTAATCCTCCACGTCCTATCCATTTATTTGGGTAAAGTTCGTTCAGTGCATCTCTTACTCTCCGAGCATAATGTGCTGGACACAAGTCGTACTGTAACCATATCATTTGGCGAACGTGTAGTGGTACATTTTCTAATAAAAGCCCCTATGAAATAATGCAGAATGTGCTAGAATAAGTTCGGAAACGATAAGACATGCACGTGATGCAGCGATACGAAGATTGCAACTTTGCATTGACGCAAACGGTCATCACTTCAAGCATCTCCTGTAATGTAAGAAAGTTTATTTTAATTCCACATTTGAGCTTGCATGATCTTCAATGATAGCTCGCTGAAGTCGTCTCAACAACAGCTATCACATCGCGATAAAAAAAACATAGCATTCCATTAGAAAAAATAGAAATGACCTTGAAATCTCCTGTATACCTTCACCCACGCAGAAAATGTTCGTGTCACAATATGCCTCCCTCTATACCGTATAAGTTTTGTATATAACATTTTTTCATATTATTACAAATAACGGCAATATTCAAAGTGGACATATTTATTGCCCCCACCCTATATATACATATATATCTACATGTATTATATGTTATATATTTATAAATAAAAGTAATTAAGCATAGTTAAAATATTTAATATTGGTATCATACGTTGGTAGCCGGTAGGGTTATTTCGAAAAGGCTGTTGTAGAAAATGATTTCTCATAAATATTTAGGAACAGGCATTGCACGACGAAATCCTCGACGATAATGTGTCTTTGTTTGAGAATCACATATGTTCATGCTATTCATCGCAAAAAACCGCACAATTTTTTAACGATTTCGATAATTTCATCAAATATTAAAAGAAAAGGCAAAAAGTGTACTTATTCTACTTGAATGAAAGTTCTAAACATTTTGTAAATGTGATTTCTTTCCCTCTAGAAGTTTGAATATTGTCTTCTCTTAAATGAGACCGTATAATATTTTTATGATCTTGATATAGAAATTTCATCGAGTATGCAAAGTACTATTACATATATGCATGTAAAATAATTATGCAGAAAATTGCCGATCCACTAGCTGGTACAAACCAAAATTAGATATATAATTCATTTCCATAATGTCAGAAAAATATCGTTCTCTTATTAACATTTTAAACAATTTAACTTAAATAACTATATTCTTACACCTGATGAAGATAAATAATTTTATTGAGCTTTTATTCGGAACTTTTATTGATGAGCTTTAAGTGTCTGTTTTTGAAATATTTATTCGAATAAAAAGTTATTCAAATACTTGAAGACATAAGAATCCACTGGCGAAAAAGCAGTGAATTCAAACAAACGTGGTACAATTTTTTGTAGCCTACGTATATGTATTAACCTGAAGGTAAGCATAGCTATATACTGAAGAAACACGTTTGTTTCTAAAATATCCGTTATATAATTTGTTCTATATTTGAAATAAATAAATTTTGTGATTTCTGTATCGCATCTCCCAAAAAAATTGTGCAGATTATTACGATGAACGCATTTATTCGTATCGTTTATACATGTGAAGAATTCGTACAGTGACACAGCTTTACTCTTTCTCTTTTTGTGTCTTTCGAAACTTTTATTTTTATATTTCTGTAACATTAGTGTAGTAACTATTTTATCGTCTTTAAATAATTGGGCGTACCAATGATTAGCCGGCTATTTTTTTAATAAAACTACAATATAGTTTAAATGAAATATATTTACTTTGATTTAAATTCAGTGTACATTAGGTATACGAATAAGTAACCTATCATTTCTTTTCAATAAATTGGTAACACAGTTTAAATTTCAAACATCTTTCTACCATTTTCATCTTTCAAAATGGTGGTGAACGTTGAAGAATGGGAACAAATATCACTGAAACGGCATAAGCTTCTAATTTCTTCCAAAATAAGTTTTGAATTTGATAAAACACAGTGGATTACTTATTGGTACACCTAATAATTTGTATTCGGTGTACCTTCCCGTCCGTTGTTGTTGTCAAACAATGAGGAACGTTGGTAATATAGGCAAGGCAAATATGCTTCTGATTTTTTAAGAGCAATTGAACATGGTAAAGGGTAGGAGACCACACACTCGTACGCCTAATAAGACCTATGAAGTATTATAAAACTGACGATTCTGGTTATAAATATCTGCAAGTCACTGTACGCGTATATGTTGATTAATTTTTAGTATCAGGATCGTTTAACCCCTTAAACGTTATGGTTCAACATTCAAAATGCAATCCACGTCCAAGTCCATGTCATAACGATTACTTGACAAAATTTTTGCTCATTACGAGAAATATTTTTAGAAAACAAAATTTAACTAGTAAATGGATACATTTTGAACATCGTTCTTTCGAAAGAATTAAAGGAATTCAAAAAATTTTAATTTTTAAAAAATTATCATTTTTAAAATTTGTGTAACGTAAATATGTCCGTCAATCCCACTGTGTATTGACTTTGGTCATGACGCATATATACATAACCACTTAAGGGGTTAAGAGTATATATGACGTTTTCAAAGATCCATAGAGATTACAGATCGACCTAAGTATTACCGAATTATTGTTATTATTGTTATTGTTGCTATTACATGATTGTACAGATTATTCGATTCGTAGCACGCCGCTCTCTACAACTGTGTGTACATAGAAATCAGCCAGAGATGAATTTATTATGTAGCAGTTAGACTTGGTGAAAGAATGCATTCTTTGTTTGCAAATAGTGAACTATTTGATCTGTGTCAGAATTTTTGTGAATTTGTAGTAGTTGTATTTAATTGTCGTTTACTACAAATTTCGTAGTACATTTCGGAAATTTTTGATTCTGCGAATCGTCGGCATCGTTTCAGCCTTTGACATGAATCAGAACATGCGGCGAACGTAAACGTACATATATGTAAGTATTTGGATGATTCACAATCATTTCGATCGACATTTTTATTTCTGGTGATATGCTTAAAGTGTCCGGCTTCCAAGATTTACGTATGAACTGGAGTAGAAAATTTCTCGGACTCTCCAAATTTTTTAAAATAATTTTATATTGTTGTTTATAAACTACTGAAATATAGCTATACTTCATTTCAATTTTTATCAGATATGTTTTTATCCTGTTTGTTATTATTTACTTTTAATGTTGAAAAAGGTTAAGGATCGAGTGTCGTTTAGGATTTCCGAGTATGTGAATTTGTTTGCAAGGAATATGTAGTGTATTCGAAATTATAAAAAATTCGTGAATGTTACAATATTCCGACTGAGCCATGCAAAACGAAAAAAATAGACGTCCATGGATTTACAACCACTTAGAAATACGCTTATACAATTTTTTGTACTATGTTGGAAATAGAATATTGAAAAATTTTAAATAATTATGCCGTACGCCTAAAGTTTATTAAGATTGACAGACAAGATCTATGAAATAATTTAATAAGGTTACATAGTAACGTTCGTACAAATCAGTACGTTTGTAAAATCAAAATTATATTCATGTCCGTCTAAACTTAACATTTATACGAAGCAAATTAAGGGACACAGGGTTAATTTGTAGCTAGTACCAACCAGCTATTTGTACAAATTTAGAGGATCAATCGATAAGCTTTTTACTAATACAAACAGTTTCAAAAATCTGTAGCCCCAACTGTTTCGTTGAGAAAGTTACATTAGTTTCGGGTTATTGGAAAAAAAGGATTCAATACGCTTCAATGGGGACACAGACATCGAACGTTCACAATTATTACAATGTTAGACGACAATGATAATTTGTACATATAAAAGCCCACGAAAGTTGTCCCGTCGATACGATATTTCGTATGTCAGCATGAAATTTGCCAGGAGATTAAGTTTATACCTTTTTAGAGTTCTAGGAGTTAGAATCTAGCTGCGAAGAAGTAAAGATATAAGCATAATGATCTCATATACTAAAACTTGGTATTAAGACGAATTAAAACTTCTTCGAAAT